TTTTTTTGCGGTACGCGGGCCTCTCACTGTTGTGGCCTCTCCCGTTGCGGAGCGCAGGCTCCGGACGCCCAGGCTCAGCGGCCATGGCTCACGGGCCCAGCCGCTCCGAGGCACGTGGGATCTTCCCGGACCGGGGCACGAACCCGTGTCCCCTGCATCGGCAGGCGGACTCTCAACCGCTGCGCCACCAGGGAAGCCCTCCAACAAGACTTTGAATAGCGAGTAGTACCCCAAAGCAAATTCTCCCCAATAGGTCGTACGAGGAAAATGGCAGGATATTTGCAGTGGGAAACTCACTCTCACCGTTCAGTTCCCAGAACCCACAGCCTTGCTAATCCCACCAAGGTGGAGCTCAGTTCTCCACCTGCCGAGCTGCATTTCAGATGTTTAGTGGGGCTCTGGTTGTCACACTGAGCTGGCTAATGAAAACGCTCCATCATCACCCCTGGGCTCCTGAGTCCTCTCCCCACCCCATCCTCCCCTTGCCTCAGCGCACCTGCTTGGTAAGCTTTGCATTTGGCCTCCACCCAGTGCCCGGTGGGGATGGCAGGATGTCTAGCTGAGGTTTGCTCTGTCTATTGTGCTTCAACATCCTGCCAAAAATCAGATGGGCTCAAGAAAAAAAAAAGACACCCAAAATGAGTCTTGAAAGAAAGCAACATCCAGTTCCCCGTGGGCTGGACTTTCTCTGCAGGGAAGGGGTACTTGTTGTGGAACTGAAGCCTGGTGTCTCCTGGTAACTGTGTCGGTGATGTTTTCTTTGAGTCAATTCCAGAAAGTGATTATGAGGAACGAGGGCCTGGGGAAAGTGAAAACCTCGGGACTGAGAACTCTCCTCAGACTTGGCAATGGGGAAACGGGAAGATCAGGCAGCAAGCAGGCAGGAGGCTGGCTGCCCCACGCCCTCGGCCCTGCTTCTGTTCAGACAGCTGCTCAGACGCAGGCAGCAGAGCTGAGCCTTCGCTCAGCGGTCCCCTGGCACCTTCCTGGGGCAGCAACAGTCCGAGCTCCCATCAAGCTCCCCTTGGGGCGCACTTTAATTATCTTGTGGGCTGATGCTCAGGGTGAGCCTGCCAGGTAGGATGGAGGTGGAGCCCCCTTCCAGTACACCAGGCAGAAACTGTGTGCATGATTAGGTAATAGAAAATGTGCCTTCTATTCCTCAGATCATGTGGGTCCTGGAAGCAGCACCGTGTGTCCCTTGTGCTTTGCCATTGCTCCTTCAAAGGCCCGCTTGCTATACTACCACATCTAATTAGCTCTGTGACTCAGGGCAACAAGGTACAGACACTACTCTCAAGGAACTTAAAGCACAGTGGAAGAGACGGGTGATTAAACAAGCAATGTTCTGTAGCATTACAGCGTGGAGGGTGCCTCCATAGAGCGGTGGTTTATTCTCAGGGCAACTCCTGTGCCCCCATTTCTACCCCTCCCCCCTCCCTATCCTTGGCCTGGGATATCTTCTCCATTCAAGCTGGGTCTCAAGTCTAATTCTTCTCCACACAACTCTAGTGGCTACTCACAGTACCCAGATTCCACACCGCAGAGAGGTGCTGGTCTATGAGGTTTTTCCAGTCTCTGGTGACATATGAACTAAGGACAAAGTAGCACGTCTTTAAGATGGCTATGGGTATTCAATTTGAGAAATTTCCCCTTGCTCTGAGAGTCTGTCCATCCTGCTTGTTGGGTTGTTAAAACATTCTTTCTTTATTAAATGATGTTGTTTGTAGATTGTCAACTTCTGTTCAGTTTAATTTTAATATTATGACTGGGCAGAATAAAAAAGTGATAGCTCAAGGTCTGGGAATCATTGCCCTTCAAGCTGCTCATCCCTGAAATTAGCACCCATGTCTAGACCCAAGCAGGAGCCCCTGGGGTGTCTTAGTATCTGATTTTCCAGTCTGCAGCAGAGTGGCAGAGCTGATATATTCAAATTCCACTCACTTCCCCAAGACACTTAGCTGCCTGTGGCAGCCAAATCGTTAAATAGACACTACTGTTTTCTTGGCATCCCAGGCTCCTGTATGTTTAATGCCTTGAATATCCGATTTCTGGGCCAAACTCATGAAAATCTAAAGGGGAATTATCCGTCTCAGAAAGCAGTTGCAATGGAAATAAAACCCATTAGTACTCAGTGTAACCAGGATGTTTAATTTTTCATTGAAATTTCAAGATAAAAGTCCATCTTCAGAGTTGTGTTAACTGAGATCTCCAGCTTCCACTGAGAGGCAGCTTAGAGACTGCTGGAGAAGATGCCAGTACCCTGGCTCAGGGTAGCCTTTTGGGGGCCCTCTGTCTACCTTCTTAGGTTAGGGGACCTCGGGGTCAAAGCATCTCCTCTGGTTAAGTGAAGTCCATATTGCATCTGGTTACCCTGTCATTCTAGGTGTGATCCAGGGCATTGGAAGTCCCCCATGAAGCTTGATGGATAGAAGAAAATGTCCCCCAGGCAAACCAAATCCCGATGACACAAGTGGTAAAGTCCAAATTCTTGGGCTGAAGTTGAGTGTCTGTGTTAAAAGTTGTTTAAAATGAGTGAATCATACTGGGCTTCGCTATTTAGCTGTAAGGAGGGTTTTGTTTTACCCATTTTGCAATGTTGGCTTTGCTCTGTGAAGGCGGTTGCAAAGGAGACCCTCATGTTTGCACTGAGTACTTCTTGGGGTCAAGGATATAACTTATGTGTGATGTTAGTGGACACCTCTTCTCCTTCTGCCCATCTCTCCCCTGGGACCCAACACATCTCTTGGCACATAAGAGGCCAAAAAATTGTTGGTGGCGACAATGACAATGCAAAGGACTCATATGTTTTAGAGAGAATCAGTTTCTGGCAATATCTACTTGACCTCATATGACCACCCAATCATTAATATTTTTATCTTGCCTATTTAATTATTAAAAGAAAATTCTTTCTTGGACTTGATCCTTGTGTTTGGTTTGCAACCCTAAGGAAAGGAGGGAGTGGGAGTGTGACGCTGGTGGCAGCAAAGGCCTCTAGGTGAGCACTCTGTGTTCTGAGTCTTGGTCTCCTAGTTCCAGAACCTCCCTTGGCTGCTTATTCAGGGCATGATCCAGACGGAATAGTGACAGTCTTGGTCCTTTTGAACCTGTGGAATTGTGTTTGGTTTGCCTGGACCATTATGCCAACATGGTCTTTCCTTCCCACTGAACCCATCCCTCTTATGGCAGGCAGCCTTCCGGCTGGCTAGCCTTGAGGTCTGGCAAGAACCGTTGTAGAAGGCTCCAGGGGATGTCATCAGCCAGTTGTTGATGTGTGAACCTGGGCAAGTCTCCTTATCTCTCTGGGTCATGGCTTCCTCGTGAAACATGCTGGATTAGATCAGAATTTCTCGACCTCAGCACATTGTGGGTCATAATTCTTTGCTGTGGTGCTGTCCTGTGCATCGTACGATGATTAACAACATACTGGCCTCCACCCACTGGATATCGGTGGCACTCCTCCCCTTTTGTGACAACAAAGCATTTCTCCAGACGTTTCCAAATGGCCCCCGGGGAGCAAAATCACCCCCAGTTGAGAGCTGTTGGAACCGATGATATCTATGTTTGAGAAACCACATTAGGAGTTGTTCATTTGTCCTATTTTATTGCGCTCCCACTATGCGTGGTGCGCTGTATTAGGTTTTACAGCCTAAATATTTTTTACAGATATTCTATTGAGAAAGTGCCATCTACTTCATGAAAAGCTGAATTAGAGTAGGACGGTATCTACACACGCATTGAGGCAAAGCGTGGAAAGAAGAGCTAGAATTCCTGTTTGGATTCTTGCTGGCGTCATCTGTAAAACAGCAACGTTATACACTGTTGTGAGGACCTAATGCTCAGTGTATATAAAAGCGCATAGATCATAGTAGACACTCAGTAATTAAACTCATTCCCCTTTTCTCTCCCCCAACCCTGAGAGAATCAGATCTGCACAAACCAGTTACTTTGCCATCCTTGCTCTGCTGTTTCTGGGAATCTATCCTTATCCCACCATGTGCCCACAACCTCCTCCCTGTCAAGCCAACACTGATATGTCATCTCAAAAACAAATCTTCAACTGTTTGTTTCGAGGAGAGCCCCAGATCTCTTGTACCACCAGATAGTTGAATTGGTCCATCCTTAAAGGGACTGCCTCTCCCTAGCAAAGAAAAAGATTCTCCAATAAGCAGAGATTTGTAGATGCCACTGTTTCATGTTGGCTTGAGCACAAAAATGACAATAAGGAATTGAGGATGAGGGAACTCCCACTTTGTGGGTTATCAGCACTGCTCCTCCTGGGGCATGGATTGGGCTGTGGGTTTTATCATCTCTCCTGGGTTCTAAGTGTCTCAAGGGTAAAGACCATGCATTGAACATCCATGGCAGGTCCTACACTATCTCCTCCAGGCAAAACATCTTGGTATTTTGTAGCCTGACCCAGTGAAAACCATCATGGTATAGTAATAAAAAGTTAGGGCAGGGACTTCCCTGGTGGCACAGTGGTTAAGAATCCGCCTGCCAGGACTTCCCTGGTGGCGCAGTGGTTGAGCGTCCGCCTGCCAACGCAGGGAACCCGGGTTCGAGCCCTGGTCCATGGAGATCCCACGTGCCGCGGAGCAACTAAGCCCACGAGCCACAACTACTGAAGCCTGCGTACCACAACTAGTGAAGCCCGCGTGCCTAGAGCCTGTGGCCCACAACAAGAGAAGCCACCACAATGAGAAGCCTGCACAATGCAACGAAGAGTAGCCCCTGCTGACCGCAACTAGAGAAAATCTGCATGCAGCAATGAAGACCCAACACAGCCAAAAATAAATAAATAAATAAATAAATAAAAAAGTTAGGGCAAGGGAGCTTGTTTGTTTGTCTTTTGCGGTATGCAGGCCTCTCACTGTTGTGGCCTCTCTCGTTGAGGAGCACAGGCTCCGGACGCGCAGGCTCAGCGGCCATGGCTCACTGGCCCAGCCGCGCCGTGGCATGTGGGATCATCCCGGACCGGGGCACGAACCCGTGTCCCCTGCATCGGCAGGCAGACTCTCAACCACTGCGCCACCAGGGAAGCCCAGGGCAAGGGAGTTTGATTCTGCATTTTCCTCTCTGGTCAGACTCTGACCAGGGGCTACAGGGCTCATGAAAGCAGTGTAGTTTTCAAAAAAAAAAAAAAAAAGGTTCAGGCTCAAATCCCAGCTTTGCCACTTACTCTCTGATTGACCTTGGGAAATTTATGTCACCTTCCTTAACTTCAGCTGTCATATCTGTGAGTCTGCAATCACAAGGGTTCCTCCTCATGAGGAATTAAATATTAGAACACATGGAAAGCACATGGCACAATTCTGGTAAATACTAAATGTTCAATAGAAATCAATTTTTATTAATAATATAAATGATCTGAAATAGTGGCTATTAAAAACAATAAATATAGTAGATGTTAAACAGACAACAAAAAGATGGACTTCTGGGTGGATGAAAAGGTATGAAATTGACTCATTGTGTTACTGATAAGAAAATAGGCTCAGAAAAAGGAAGCGAGTGGCAAGGGGTACCCAGGACATCATTGCTGGTTAATGCAGAGCTGGGTCAGATGTTGCATCTCTAGATGCTGGTTCTACCATGCTGGGGCTGCCTTCCTGTGTTAGAGGGGAAAAAATTAACAACACTTGTTAAAGGTGGCAAGGCAGGCTTTACTTGGGACCACTGTGATAAATATAGGGACCACTGCAATGGGATTTTACAGTGGGGGTGAGAGATTGGGCTCAACTCCAAGTACAGCCTGGGCAAGTGAGGATTTACAGCTAAGGGGCAGGTTGGGGGTCAGTGGGTGGAAAATTACCAAGAAGAAACATCATGGGTGAGGGGGATTCTCGGTAAACTGACCCAACAGGATTCTTTGCTGTAGTCTCGGGTGTCAGATATCACCTGGGGGATGGCAGAGGATAAGGAACCCAATCAGATATCAAAGATGGGGGCTCTGGTGAAACTGACTTAGCAGCGTTCTTAGAAAAACTGGATTTTACAAGAAAGCACACACATGGGCCTCGGAAAAGCTTCAGGAGCCTGACTAAGGTTTGAATGTTTGTCACTATTCAAACATTTAAAGCCCATGTTTAGAAAATTGCATACAGATTGAGGAAAATGCACCTCTTGGTTTAAGAGCCACGTGCTGTTTCCAGAGGGGCACTTTCTTCAGGGTAAGAGAGAAATGAGTATTTTGTCTACAGTGTTTCTAATGCCCTAGGGCTACCTGAGAGAAAAACAGGGCAGAGAGGAGGCCTTGCCCCCAAGGCTCCGGCATAGCCAAGCGCTGTAGAAACCACCTTTGTCCCTACCTCCCATCTTCCCAAAGTTCAGCCCTTACCCTGCAGCCCAGGCTCAAGGGACTGGTGAGTTGGTCTTTCATGTTAATGCTGATATTCAGTCTCGAGAGACACTCTGATTAAACCCCTGGGCACCAATATGTTCACCTTCTCCATGAGGCTGCGGGAGATTTCTCTGGGCTGGCTCTGACCTGTGATTCATATCTTGTCTTTCACCTTTTGCCAACAAACTCATACCTTTGCTTGAGAAGAAAAGACTGAAGTTTTCAGGCTCAGTGGTTGAGAGAGGAAGAGCTTTAATCGTCACAGTGCCTTGGGATACTTTATCCTTCAATCTTGCCTATCTCGGGTCTGCTTGGGATGGAGGGTATGTGTGGTCTATTAGGGTGTTGGCAGGTGAAATCACGGATAATTACAATATGAATGGAAACTTGGTTCAAACAGAATACCGTATTTGCGTCAAACTCTCCTGTGGTCTCAGTGATGGTTATAAGTTAGTTGAGAAGTTGAAGAAGTAGAGTCATAACTCTTACCAGAACTCCATTGCCGATTTTGCTTTTTTAAACTTAGTCTATCCACCTGCTGTCTTTCTTATTTGAAGGGCACGCATTTTAATGCTTTTCTTTTACTTTCCTCCTCCTCTTTTGCTTAACCCCCTTCTAGCAAAGCACAGATAGAATGATGATTTAAAGGAGGGATCTGCAAATTATGGTCCCTGGGCCAAATCCTGCCCACGGCTTGTAAATAGAGTTGTACTGGCACACTGCCACGCCCCTTTGTATATGTATAGTCGTGGTTGTTTCTGCAATGGAGGTGAGGAGTTGCAACGGAGACCATATGGCTCATAAAGCCTTAAATATTTACTCTCTGGCCCTTTATGGAAAAAAGCGTGCTGACTCCTGATTTAGAGTGTAACGCGGGAGTTAAACATACCTCGGTTCAAATCAGGTCTTAGTTACTTGCTTGCTTTGACATTGGAAAAGCCACATAAACTCTCTGAAACCTAATCTGTACCATGGGATAAGAAATACCTACCTTGGAGGGTTGCTGTGAGAATTCAGTGAGAGAGTATTTGCGGCCCTGTGCCTGGTACAGACGAAAAGCTCAATAAATGTAGCTATTATGATGATCATTCATTCCTTTACCCACCAAATGTATTTCTGGTGCTTTCTCTCTGCTAAGCCTGGGGGGCTGCAGCAGTGATCAAGACATAGACGATCCCCGCTCTCATGGAGCTCACAGTCTAATGGGGAAGACTGACAACATGAAGAAAATAAATCAAGAGATTACTTTCAGACAGTGATAAGTGCTATAAATAAAATAGGACAGTATGAAGGAAAGTGCCAAAGCAGGGGACAGAAAGTTGCTAACTGAGCTCAGACTGAAACATGAGAATGAGTCAGCCATGCAAATACCTAGAGAAGGAATGTTCCTGGCAGAGAGGACAATAAATACAGAAGCCCTGAGCCAGGGGTGAGCTTGGGATGGTCCAAGAACAAAGAGATGGCCTTGGGGACTGGGGCAAAGTGGAGGTTTTGGGGTAGGGGAGACGGTAGAAGACAAGGCAACAGAGGTCAGCACAGGTAAGAGCATGTCATCGCTCACAGATCCTAAGAAGATGTTTGGCTTTTAGAGGCAGGGATGCAATCTAAGGTCATAATGGGGCAGAAATGTAACTGGGTCCTTGGCCTCATTCTATGACCTTTGTTGTAAATATATTATTCTTCCTCTTTGGTCTCTGGCATTCATCACTGTCAGAAATAGGAGATGAGTAGGGGCTCTAGTGAGCCCTAGTCGAAGTGCCAAGCCCATCACATGGCCCCAGCAGGACACATCCACCTCACTTGGGCTTTCTCCTTACAGTACCCCTGACTCACCAAAAAAAAAAGTCTTCTGGCCAATGCCATTACCTCTTTGAAATCATTCCTTATCAGGAGACTTTAATGCTTCTCCAGGTGGAGCACTTAAGGTAAAAATCAGTTAATGTAATCTTAAAACCCCCTAATAAATTTCCCCGCAACTTAAGACAACCAGATAATCATTTTGTCCCTAGGGTCACTCAAAATTCACAGCTCAATTCCCATAATTAGCATTTCTTTTGTATCTCAGTCATTGAACAGGGGGTGAAGAGCCCCAGTGATAATATTTTACCTGTTTGAGGTTTAAAAGAAAGCTTTGATACAATCAGATAAACTGCCTCCAGTGTTGCCAATAATTACAGCCATACAGTACGTTTCAGTTCCAAGCAGTGTGCATACTTGGCTCGCTTAAAGGTAAAAGTGTACATTTAGTTTATCAACTTTGATCCATTTGGGGTGACTCCCCCTCCCCCTCGTGTTCTCCTCTTCATTCTCCTCCTCTTTCATCACCTTTATCCTCACCAGAACCCCTTATTTATCGACCCCCTTGGCTAACAGTAGTTAATACTTCCTTTACAATGTGCAAGTATGTGTTTCTGTCTCATTTTGTTTCAGACATCCTTAAAAGAACAAGATCCAAAGGTGGCTCTCTTCCAAGCCATGCTTTCGAACACTGATTCTTAATCTGGGGTCCATGAATGATCATGGCGGGGGGCGATTATGAGCCCCCTGAAATGGAATGCAAACTTTTACATGTATGTTTTTTTTTTTAATCAGGAGGAAGTCTACAGTTTCATTACACTCTCAAAGTGTTCCCTGATTCTAAAAAGTTAGGAAATACTGCTTTAAAGACTTTACTGACTCAATCTATAACATGGTTATCAAAGGAAAATCCTAGAAATTTTCTATCTGAAAAAGGAACGTTTGTTGAGTTGGAGCTGGGCAAGCCTGTGATTCTCAAAGACCACATTTATCACTTATGACCTGTGAAAGCAAGGGGGATTGATGGTTGTTGGGTCAAATGCAGCCTTTCTTTCAGAGGACTACATATTCTCCTGGGGATTCTTGTCATGACTGCAAACATTATATAGTTCCCACTATGCACCAGGCACCGTCCTAGAGCCTTATATATTTTAATTCTTAATCCTCACATTAACCCCATAAAGTATGTCCTATTATTAGACTTGTTTTGCGGATGAGGGAAATAGGGCACACACAGATTAAAACCATAGAATGAGCTTTATACTCAACATTCCAAGACCCTTCACAGGTCTGCATAATACAGTTTGCCCAGCTGTAATTAACGGCTCAGAATAATTATCATTTTGGATGTGTCTGAATGGCAGCCATGTTGTAAAACCGTGAAGCACATGCCTGATTAATAACAGGATTCCTATTTGTGCCACCTTTGGTTTTGTGAATAAGAACAGATTGCATGTCACATGCAGAGGAGAGCCAGCTGACTACTCTGCTTAATTTGAATTTGGCTAAGAGTCACCGTGGTTTATAAAGTGAGGTTATTGACCAAGTAGATAATTTTATTATTGTAACTATTATTTTTTTAACATCTTTATTGGAGTATAATTGCTTTACAATGGTGTGTTAGTTTCTGCTGTATAACAAAGTGAATCAGCTATACATATACATATATCCCCATATCTCCTCCCTCTTGCATCTCCCTCCCACCCTCCCTATCCCACCCCTCCAGGTGGTCACAAAGCACCCAGCTGATCTCCCTGTGCTATGCGGCTGCTTCCCACTAGCTATCTACCTTACGTTTGGTAGTGTATATATGTCCATGCGACTCTCTCAATTCATCCCAGCTTACCCTTCCCCCTCCCCATGTCCTCAAGTCCATTCTCTATATCTGCATCTTTATTTCTGTCCTGCCCCTAGGTTCTTCAGAACCATTTTTTTGTTTGTTGTTTTTTAGATTCCATATATATGTGTTAGCATATGTTGTTTTTCTCTTTCTGACTTACTTCACTCTGTATGACAGACTCTAGGTCCATCCACACAATTTGTTTTAAGAGTAGTGTTTTTTGCGGGGGCTGGGTGGGTAGGAGGCTTTATTCTTTTGGCAGATCCTCTCAGTCATTACAGATACTGCTGCACTGTTAATAAAAAGTATATGCTTCTCTGTAAAGCATTAAAAAAAAAAAATCCAAGGATGAGATGGCTGAGGTCTCAGCTCAAGTATCTCCAAATACATTGTTGTCCATTCCCTGACCTTTCCATGTGTTATAGCTGATTCACTTTGTTATAAAGCAGAAACTGACACACCATTGTAAAGCAATTATACTCTAATAAAGATGTTAAACCAACCAAACAAACAAAAAATCAAATTGTGACGGGCAATGAAAAGTGGATACTGTACAATAATGTGGAACGGAAGAGATCGTGGGGCAAGTGAAATGAACCACCACCAACCACACCAAAGGCTGGTCTTCATCCACAGATGGTGATGTTGTGTATATGTTGGGATTGGAAGGGAGTCCTCTATCATCAGCTCCTTCCGGAAAACCAAACGATTAATTCCAACAAGTACCACTCCCAATTAGACCAAGTGAAAGTGGCACTCGACGAAAAGCATCCAGAATTAGTCAACAGAAAACGCATGACCTTCCATCAGGATAATGCAAGACCGCATTTTTCTTTGATGACCAGGCAAAAGCTGTTACAGCTTGCCTGGGAAGTTCTGATTCATCCGCCATATTCACCAGACATTGTACCTTTGGATTTCCATTTATTTCAGTCTTTACCAAGTTCTCTTAATGGAGAAAAATTCCATTCCCTGGAAGACTGTAAAAGATACCTGGAACAGTTCTTTGCTCAAAAAATTTTGGGAAGGTGGAGTTATGAAGTTGCCTGAAAAGTGGCAGAAGGTGTGGAACAAAAGGGTGAATAGGTTGTTCAATAAAGTTCTTGGTGAAAATGAAAAATGTGTCTTTTATTTTTACTTAAACACCGAAGACACTCTTTGGACAGCCCAGTATCATCAGCAGTTAATGAGCAGGTGGCCTAGAAGTGTAGACAGACTGTCCTCTAAGAAAATCACTTATAAATAATCTACAGAGAAACCAACGTTGTGGGCATTAAGGTTTGTGTGATTCCACCCGTAGCCTATAGTGGTTACTAGGAATTCTACAATTCATGTATGTGGGCTAAATTTATAGACAGAGGTGAAGTAGGAACCCTGGACCAGAATAGAAAGCCTCTGGAAAAAGTAACTGTAAAATAATTTGATAAAGGGGAAAAGGTTTTGCCATCTCCTAAGCAGAATTGGATGTGCAACAGGAACAGATGAGGTGTAAGTCATCCTAACTGAGTGAAGGGTCAGACTGAATCCCCTCCCAAGACAGCGGAATAACAAAGCGGGGCTGGGAGAGAGGATTGCACCCTGTGACCCTCAATTATGGAAAGCCTGTTTTCTAATATCTTACCTTCATGTTGGAGGTCATCCTTGTAATAAACTTCAAATATTTTAAGGAATAATATGATGATGACCGTCAGAAAATATCTGGTTGAAACCGCAATCAGCGGCATCATGCTTATTCAGGTTTCACTTTATATCAGGCAATTTAGATCATTGGAAACTGGGTTGATAACACTCTTTACTTTGGAAAATTGTTCTTTTGGGAAATCTGTAAGTTAAAAGCCAGACACAGTTTTAAGGAGTATGTTTAGAATACCCAGGAGAATAATTTTCCAGAAGAAAATCTTAGAGCTTCTATGTCCCCAAAAGTAATGAAAGTAAATTTATTTAAAAGTATTCTAAAAATGAGCCTCAGCTGAACTTCAATTGATCTTCCTTTCAATTAGACTTAATAAGTAAGTTTCTAGCTTACTTTGAACTCATTAGAAAAAGAATAAATGCAGAGTAGTCCTGTTTCTCCTTGTCCCCTTCATGAAATTTTTTTTTCTTTTTTGACAAAGACTGATTCTGAGGGAAGAAAAATAAAAATTAGTCTGTCTACAGCCATGTCTAGCTTTCCTCTCAAGTATTTTCAAATTCCTTCCTTCAAGTGTATTGGGCACTAGTGTCTTTCTTTCTTTTTTTTTTTTTTTTTGGTGGTACGCGGGCCTCTCACTGTTGTGGCCTCTCCCTGTTGCGGAGCACAGGCTCCGGACGCGCAGGCTCAGCGGCCATGGCTCACGGGCCCAGCCGCTCCGCGGCATGTGGGATTCTCCCGGACCGGGGCACGAACCCGTGTCCCCCGCATCGGCAGGCGGACTCCCAACGACTGCGCCATCAGGGAAGCCCTGCCTTGTACTTAATTGTGGTGTTCTTATCCATTGTGGACCACCTCCCACTGTGTTGCTGGTTACCACTGGAGAGTTGGGCCCCTGTTCTCCCTTGTATTATGTTCTTCCGCCTACTCTGGCTCAGGAAGTTGGGGTGGGAGAGGAATGGGAAATCTGCTTCCTATCTCCCTGTCAAGCTTGGATACATGTCTTCCCCAAGACCCGTGAGTCCTGAGCCCCCAAAACTCTAGGTTCATATATCTCTCCTTGAATACTCCTGTTTCTAGAGCTACCCTTGTCCAGGACTCTTGACAGTTGTCATAGCCATTCACACCTTCCTTTGTTAGTATTGTTGTATTTAGATATTTGACAAATAGATCTTAAGAATCTGTATTGTACAAGGTACTGTTAGATGCTAGGAATACAAAGGAAAGGAATGGGAGAAATCAAGATGGACATTCAAGAGGGAAAGGCAGATCTTAAATGGCTAATTCTACAATTAATTAATATTCAATTATAATTGTGATAAGTCCCTTGGGGAAGAAGCATATGATATGGGGCCTGCCTTAGTCTGAGGGTCAAAAAGTTTTTCATGAGGAGGTGAGATCTGAGCTACGTTATGAAGCATGAGTTGGAGAGAAAAAAGGGTTGTGCTCTCTCTGCTGGCAGAGAAAGCAGTTTGTGCAATGGAAGAGTAAAGCCTGTTTTTCCTGGGGACTGAAAGAAAGAAAGGGTGACTGAAGTTGGAGAAAAAGAGGGCAAGTGGGAGGAGATGAGGGTGGTGAGATTAACAAGGGTGGAATGTGCCAAGCATTGGCAGTTCTAAAAACTATAAGGAATAATTGAAAAGATTTTAATCAGTTGGAGTGGGGATCAGGCAGAGAAATGGGGGTGTTTGACATCGTCAGTGTTGTACTTTCAAATGTTCATCCTGGCTGATATGTGGGGTGTTTGGGAGGGTGGTGTATAGAAAGCAGACATGAGGAGTCCAGGTAGTAAGCTGCTGTGCCGCCCAGGGAAGATGGTGGTGGCCTGGAATAAGACAGTTCAAGTAGAGAGGACGATAAAGAGATGATTAGTTTAAAGCTATCTAGAAGGTAAAGTTGCCAGAAGTTAGTATTCGATTGGATGTGGGAAGCAGTTAAGAATGACTCCTAGGTTCCTGGTCTTCTAAGGACAGAGTGTGGAATGAGAGTGAAGGAGGGCTTTGAACCAGCAAAAGATGCCAAGAAAGAACATTCAGGTAGGTAGAAAGAAATCCAGCAGGACGTGGGGTTGTGAAAGCTGAGGAAAGGCTTACACCCAGAGCTTGAACTTGCTCCACGAGCCATCAGTACGCAATAATCTGACATCAGGTTATACAACAGTGGAAGAAAGGTCCCGGGTAAGTACGGGCATGAAGAATCTAGCCTACATTAGGATCCCTCTCCCAGAAGACAAGATGCTTTGTTTACAGTCAGCATCTCAGCTCCACAAACCATGTTGGATCATATGTTCCAAGAACCAACAGCGGTTTTCAGAGAAGTGGTCTTAAGCAATATTTAGGAAGAAAGTTTTTCCTAAAAGACAATGTCTTCGGAGATGCAATTCTAGGCACAACAAGGACAAACTTTTGTGATGTCATATAGGGTAGTCTGGCCTGTTAGAGGCTCCTGAATCCCTTCATTCCAGATTGGGGCCTTTGCTTTATCCAGCCCAACCAGAAGTTTCACTGAGGTTGTTCTGATAGTCATTAGGGTTGTTCATAAATGTTTAGTTACCTTGTTTGGGGCACATGGTGGGATTACACCACCTCTTGCTTCACTCTCTTGCTTTATATGATGCTTTAGCTAATGAAATGGGAGCAGAAGTGATGTGTGGATTAAGAGCCAGTGCATGGTTCACTATACTCTCTGGTCCCAGCCTCAGCAATCAAGGAAGCAAGTGTCAAGATGGAGCCTCCCTTAGTGACCTTATAAGCAGAGCCCCTGTAATAACCTGCAGTTTCCATGTAACATAGTCAAATAAACTTTGTTGTCTCAAGACTCTGAGACATTTGTTACTGAGTCATAACCTAGCCCATCCTGACTGATACAGAGACATTCTTCCCAGAACAAAGTAAAGTTAACGGTTGCTATGAGTTCCAAAGATTTTAGGATAAATTCTTCACTAGGATTCAAGCTCAAAGGAATAGGACCTCTCTTTTGTCTTCAGAGTCTACGCAAGAGGAGACTAACAACAATCATAATAATAGCTACTATCTAGTAAGTCTCACCATGTGGCAGGCAATATGCTAATTATCTGTATACATTATTCCATTTTACCTTAAAATAACCCAGTAAGTGAACATTAGCAAATCCACTTTTAAAATGAGAGAATTTGGGGGCTCAGAGAGGTTAAATCACTTTCTCAGGGTCACACAGCTGGTAGATGGCAGACCATGATTGAAACCCAGGTTGTCGGGCTCCAAAGCCCTGTCACAACTCTCAGGCGTTCTGCTGGAAGGACTCGGGGTTAGTCCACTGATGTCCCAGCTAGCAGCAGCTCAGTGTTTAAGCCAGCCACCTCTTAGTATCACTACCCTCAGCTCCTTCATGAGTGGGGTTTAACATACAGATAAGCTTTTCAGACCTGGGATCTAGTGGCCCAGTCCTAACTCCCAGGCTCTCACCTATGCTGGCTGAGTAACGCTATCAGTTACATGTTTGGGCTCTAGAATCAGATGGATCTGAATTCAAATCAGGGTTCTTCCACATACCAAATTCACCTAACCTCTCCCTGTGCCTCAGTTTTCCCATATAGAAAATCAGGGTAATAATAGTTCCTAGCTCATGGGGCTGCTGGGACGATGGGTACCTTATTTGCCTACTTGCTCTCAGATCCAATCCCCATCCTTCTCTGCTCTACTTTATGTCTGGGGAGGGGCTGGGTGGGTGGGTGAGGTAGCCCCCCTGCAAATTCATTCCTTAGATTCCCCTGCAGTTTGCTTCAGCCAGTAGGAGGGCTGGCAGATGAGGCCAGAAAGAGGCAAAAGCCAGGGAGGGTATCCCCCTCTTTCTCAGGGGGCATCTCCAGCGGTGGCAGCTCTGTGATTTCGGCTCCCCCTAGGCAGCCCCTCTCTCCTTGGTCCCAGCTGTTGCCTAGGGGCTCTGTTAGCACCTGGCTTTGTCACTCCAGCCCTAGGGAGGGTAGTGATCTTCCATTGTTGCTAATCTCCAGGCTGCCTCACTATCCCCTTTTGTCCTCTCAGTCCTTCTAAGGCCTTTCTAAGTAGAATTCTGTATTAAAGTCTACCAGTGGCTGTCTGGCACGGGCTCTTTTTCACACAGCACCATGCCTGCTACAAAGGATTGCTTGAGATAATGCCTATGGAGTGCTAGAACAGTGCCTGGCACACAGTAAGTGCCCAATAAGTGGTAGCTTACAAAATGTACTTACCTCTTGCCTAGGTTCTCTGAGGCCAGTTTGCAGCAGGTAGGCCCCTGCCCACATCATAGCTCCTGAATCAATGCCCATTTCTCCTCCTCCTGGGCTGTCCAGGTCCACAGACCTGGGTTTGTTTTGATGCATTCTTTTCTAATCTTTATAAGGTAAAGGGCATGTGGATTCCGCCACAACATGTATGACATGTCACCATTTTATTTCTCATTTTTCAAACTTCTTACTACGGCTTAAAAAGTCCTGCTCTATCTGGCCCCTTCTGTCTTCCCAACCCCTCCCTCTGACACATCCCCTTCACTCCCTCCAGCCTGCACTGGCCTTTGTTCACTTCTGTCTGCCAAGCTCTGTCCTCCTTCAGGGCTTTGGCAGGTGTAGTTCCCTCTTTTTAGAAAGATCTTTCCTGGTCTCCTTTCATATCCTTCTCACACCCCAGCCTCAAGGTAGCTGCTCCTCCCTTAGAGAGGCCCTTCCCATCACCTTATCTAATGTTGGTCACCTCTGTTATTCTCTGTGACAGATGCTGTTGGATCTTCATTGCAGTTTCCAAAACTTGTCATGATTTTATTTGTTTGCTTGTTTATTACTCTCCCTACTGCCTCCCTCCCAACATTCCATAGGCTGTTAGACTATTAATTCCATGAGGGCAGGATCTATGTGTGACAGCCTCATCTGTGTATCCTCGGTGCCTGAAAAAGATGCTTGGCACAAAGCGGGCCCTCAGTCAATGTGTTATGCATGAATTGATGTTGAATTAATCTGTCTCCAAACTGCTCGTGTCAAGGGTCCCTAGAAGTCCAATGGTGATCAGCGTTGGGACTCCCCTCCTCTCCCTTTCCCTGGCACATGTGTTGTGAGCCAGAGGCCCTGGCTCTGTTCAGGCTGGCCCTCTTCACCACTGTTCCCTGCCTACACCCTGCACGGTGCGTGGAGCTCTGTTTTCCCAACGGGCTCAGCCACTGGGACCTTCACCGAGGCTCCCAAGACTCTCTATTCTCTCCATAGTGCTTCCACTTTCACACTCCTTCTGAAGATCTGCCACCTCTAGGGCCTACATTGGAGCCATCTCCAATCAGATCCATGAGCAGAGTCCTCCATCCTGAGCCCCTTCTCAGCACCTGGGCCTTCCTGGCCTCTACTGCCTCAGACAACCTCTCCCTGTCACACGATCCAGCTTGATTCCACAGAGGAAGCGAAGGCCCGTTCCGGTTTTGTCTCCTCTGGTGACCAAAGACAGTCAATAGTTTCTCATTTTTTGTCTTTCAGTAACAAAAAGGCTGCTAATGGCAATGACTTAGCCTCTTTCAACAGAACCTCAGGACTTAAACCACAGAGCCTGGCTACACTCCTGGGACAAGGAAAAATAACTTTCCTTTTTAAGAGTAAACTAACAGTTGTAAACAAAAGAACTTGACTTGGAAGCTAATTTCTTAATTACAGCTCTAGCAGTTACTGATTCAGTGCCCTGCTTCCAACTCTAGAGCTGGTGCCCTGCCCTGAGGCCCTGCTTGTGGCTGAAAGCCTGGAACCCTACCTAGTTCCCACTGGCCTTGCTTCCTGGGGTGCATCAGCTTTGTCCTGCAGCCCACACAGTAGAAGATGCCAAGCCAGCTCTCCCAGAAGCATGACTGCCTCCTGCTTGGCTTATTTGAAGTTTTTGGCTTAATCTACTATGAAGCAGTTTTCAGTCAAATTGAAGTACCTGTTCTGTCACACATGTGGTAAAAGTGAGTCAGAGGGGATTCCATTCTCTTCTGGCCTAAGGTACGTTCTAAATGGCAGGCTCCAAGGTCACGTCCATTGCCATCCCCCAGCGTGATATACTGGCAGGGACTATTTCTCAATGCTCTTTTTCTCCCATATGTTTGAGTTATTCTAGCAGCCGGAATCACTGTGCTTAAAAATTAAATATGAGTCAGGAATGCAATTTGTCTGTAACAGAAAAAAAGATTTCAGTGGCTTAAAATCCAGAGGTGTGTGATTGATAATGTGGGGTTTGGACATTAAATTATAGAGCAAATGGGGAAAAAAAGTGAAAAAGAAGCAGTGCCAGCTGTATCTGTTCCCTTTTCCTAGGAAAGAAACACTTCTCCAGAAATCCTCAAGTTTGATTTTCTCTTAGGTGTCATTGCCCAGAACTGGGTCATAAGACCATCTTGGCTGCGGGGGACAGTTAGACTATTAGAGAACAAGATTATCATAATTAACTCAGATACTTTGATTCACTCTTTTCTCGGGGCTGGGCAAGAGATCACTCTGAATAAAATCAGGCTTCTGATAGCCAGGACCCTGCAAGGAATGGGTATTGGACAGACAGGTCTCATTGCCTGCCCCAGATCAACAGAGTTGTAGAAGCCACAGGCTACTGAACTTGATGCTGATTTTTGAATCTTTTGGGACACAATTATCAAACAGTTGCGTGTAAGTCTCCTAGGCTATCTTATCCTATGCTCCCTGGTGGGCGGTAGGTGTGCTGTACATGTTTATTAAATAAATGAATGAAGAAAACAAATCTAGAGGAAAGTGGACCATGAGAACAGCATAGATTCAGTAAGGGTAAGTCAGGCCAAACTTTATAGCCTTTAAAAGTCTGTGATGGAGTAATTGTTGTATTTGAGATCAGGGCGTGTCATAGATATCTTGTCATTGGATTTCGGCAAGTCAGTTGACACCGTTCCTCATAATATTCTCGCAGAGAAAAAAAAAGCACACGTCACAATTTGACGGATGTAGCTGAAGCAAAACTTAGTGAGGAGTTCATAGCACTAATATATCTGTATTAGAAGAGAAGACGGGTCTCAACTCAAATCACTGATCTCAGTGCGGTATTTCAAGGTGTTGAGTCCCAGCCTTTATAAGAGTGTTTTCACCATCATTCAGCCCACAGTACTTTCTAATTTTCATTCTATTTATTCCTTAAACGGTGGGGTGTTTTTGTTTTTTTAGAAGCATGTTAGTTTCCAAATATTTGGGGATGTTCCAGATACTTCTAAGTTAATGATTTCTAATTTCCGTTGTGGTCAGAGTATGTTTTATGTGATGTGAATCCTTATAAATCTATTGAGACTTGTTTTATGGCAGGTTTTACCAAGACACGTTCCGTATTCACTTGAAAAAAATGATATTCTATCTATGCGTGTAGTGTTCTATAAATGTCAATTAGGCCAAGTTGGTTGACAGTATTGTACAAGCCTTGTATATCTTTACTGATTTTCTGCCTAATTGCTCAGTTATGGAAACAGAGGTGCTGAAATTAGTTTGTAATCATGGATTTTTCTATTTCTCCTTGAAAGTCTGTCCGTTTTTGATTCATATATTTGGAAGCTTTGTACTAGATGCATGAATATTTAGAATTGTTTTTTCCCCTTGATGGATTGACTCCTTTATCATTATGAAATGATCCTCTTTATTTCTGGTAATATTCTTTGTATTGAAATCTACTTTGTATGATATCAATATAACCACCCATATTTCTTCTGATTATCATTAGCATGGTACATTGTTTTTCAATCGTTTAACTTATTTGTCTTTATATTTAAAGTGATTTCTTTTGATAGATGGCATACAGTTGGTTCTTGCTTTTTTCTCCAGTCTGACAATCTTTGCCTTTTAACTGGGGTGATTACTTATATGCATGAATTTAAATCTACCATCTTGCTATGTGTTTTTTCTTTCTCAATCCATTTTTCTTTCCTTTCTCCTCATTTACTGCCTTCTTTTGGATTCGAGTGACTTTTTTTTTTTAATGATTCTGCTTTATTTTCTTCGTTGATGTATTAGCTACAACTCTTTGTTTTACTTTTATGGCAGTTGTTTTAAGAGTTGGAGTATACATCTTTTTATTTTATTTTATATATATATTTTGGAGTATACATCTTTAACTTATCACAGTTTACCTTCAAGTATATTACACCACGCTATGCTTAGTATAAGAATATTACAACAACAGATACTTCCCCCTTTCTGGATGTTGTGCTGTCATCATACATTTTATTTCTACATATATTATAACCCCCCCATATTGTTTTTATTTTTGCATTAAGCTATTATCTTTTAAAAGAGTTTTAAAAGGGAAAAAAATTATTTACCTACAGATTTATGATTTCTTGAGCGCTTGATTCCTTTACGTAGATTCAAATTTCCATCTGGCTGTATTTTCTTTCTACCTGAAGGAGTTTCTTTTAACATTTCTTGTAGTGTCTGCTGGTGGTGAATTCTTTCAGCTTTTGTGTGTCAGATATGTCTTTGTCTTGTGTTTGAAATACATGTTTGGGGAAAGAATCCTAAACTGACAGTTTTCTTTTTGAGTACTTTAAAGATGCTGCTTCACTGTCTCCTCATTTGCATATTCCTGATGAGAAGTCTCCTGACATTCTGATCTTTGTTCCTCTGCACTGTAATGTGTCTTTTTCCCTCTGTTTTTAAGATTTTTCACTTTATCACTGGTTGCAAGCAATTTAATTGAGATGTTCTTTGGTATAGTTTTCTTCTTGTTTCTACTTAGAGTTTGTTGAGCTTCTTGGATTTGTGAATTTATAGTTTTAATCAAATATGGGAAGTTTTCAGCCATTATTTTTTCAAATATGTATTTCTGATATTTCTCCTTTTCTTCAGGGATGCCAGTTGCATATATATTAAGCTCACTGATACTCTGTTCATTTCTAGTTTCAGTCTTTACTTTTTTCTATTTGTGTTTCATTTTGGATAGTTTCTATTCCAACATTTTCTGGTTCTTTAATTTTTTTTTTTTCCAGTAACGTCTAACTTGCTGTTCATCCTGTACAAGTGATGTGTGCATGTGTGTGTGTTAAAAATCTCAGACAATGGTTTTATAATATCTAATGTTTGATTTGGGTCTTTTTTAAGTTTTCCACATCTCTACTTAACTCAATCTTTCCTCTACTTTCTTGGACTTACAGAATATAGTTGTAAGTATGTTTTAGTGTCCTTATTTACCAATTCTATCATCTCTGTCATTTCTGGGACTCTTTCAGTTAATTAATTTTTCTCCCCATTGTGGTTCATTCTTTCCTGCTTCCTTTTGCATCCCTGATGATTTTTTTTTTTTTTTTTTTGCGGTATGTGCACCTCTCACTGTTGTGGCCTCTCCTGTTGCGGAGCACAGGCTCCGGACGCCCAGGCTCAGCGGCCATGGCTCACGGGCCCAGCCGCTCCGCAGCATGTGGGATCTTCCCGGACCGGGGCACAAACCCGTGTCCCCTGCATCGGCAGGCAGACTCTCAACCGCTGCGCCACCAGGGAAGCCCATCCCTGATGATTTTTGATTGGAAGAGTAACATTGTGAATTTTACGTTGTTGGGTGCTAGATATTTTTGATATTCTTTAAGTATTCTTGTACTTTGTTTTGGGATATTTTGTTCTTCTGAAGTTTGATCCTTTGGGGGCTGCCTTTTAAGATTTGTTATGTAGGTCCAGAGAAGTTTTACTCTACGGTTAATTTTACCCCACTACTGAGGCAAGACTTTTTGAGTTGCGACTTATGGGATTTTCCAGGCCTTATTCCTGGTCCCATATGTTCACTGGTTATCTTTCCACTCTGCCTTGTGGGAAGAGGCACACCACTCTGGTACTCTACTCCCAGTTCCAGCTGTTTTGGCCTTCCTGGTCTCCCAGTTCTAGCTTCTCACCTCAGAAAGTCTACCTAGCTCTTCCTAGATTACCCCTGTCTGCACTATAGCCTGGCAACTCTTTCTAGGCAGTAGGCTGAGGCAATCATAGTGCTTAACCTCATTCACTTCCTTTCCCTTATGGACCACAGTCCTGCACTGCTTGCTGTTTTATATATTTTGCTTTTTAAAAAAAATTTTTTTTATTGTTGTTGTCATCTTAGCAGGAGAGTAAATTCAATCCTTCAGTCCTTGTTGCTCCACCTTGGCTGACTAGATTGGATCTGGATTACTATAAGTTATTGTGGTTCTGTTGATAAAAGACTGCCAAGGGTGTCACTTGCTTCCAAAACAGTTCTCATTTAGTAATCTGTGCACTGCAGTCCACATCTCCTCCAAGTACCGTAAACTCTTGTGCAGTGGGTGTTGCAGAAGAGTTGCGTACAAATGAAGTTTATATAAGAACCTAATTTTCCCCTCTGGCTTACACTTTAATTCCTGTGGTGCTCTACGTCATTTCTCATTACTTTAACAGTGACTTCAAATCCTGTGACTTTCCTGTATTTTCTCCCCTCCTTTTCTTTTTCTTTCTTTCTTTTTTTTTTAATGTCAGGGGTCAGTAATCTGTACACAAATTTCATGATATTTTGGGATGAGAATTCATCTTATTCTAGTCATCATAGGCCTTAAATACTTAGGTGTGTGCTTAGAGCTAAGTTGTGTGGGGGGGGTTGAATAAAGACAGGGCCCTTGACTTCAAGGAGCTCAAAATCTTTTTTTAAATGAATAACAATTCCTGCTGTTTTGAATTGTTTTGGGATGGATTTACAAACAGAAGTAGGAAGTGCCAGAGAAAGAACTCTTGTTTTACTTCTTGTTCCTTAGCTTCAACAAGTAGTTACTGTGTTTACTGTTATGTATTTACTATAACAAAGTATCATAGTGATACCTAAGAAACAGGCACTGGGACTTCCCTGGCCGTCCAGTGGTTAAGGCTTTGCCTTCCAATGCAGGGGGTGTGGGTTGGATCCCTGGTGGGGGAGCTAAGATCCCATGTGCCTTGTGGCCCCAAACCCAAAATGTAAAACAGAAGCAATATTGTAACAAATTCAGTAAAGACTTAAATGACAGTGTGTTTATGGAGGGCTGGAGACATCAGGGAAGGCTTGGAGTCCTAGTTCAACACAGAACTTGTCAAATTTAGCTGAGAGAGGTGTGAGCACAGTTAGGAGTATGAGGGCCCAGGGCTTGACAAGGGACGATGGGAGAGGCTGAAGCAGGGGCTCTTGATGGAGAGCAGTGGGAAAAGTAGAAGCCTCTCTGTGTAAGCCTTAGATGCCAGGCTCAGGCATTTGGACTGTGGGAGCTGTGGATGGTTTTTGATGGATGGACATGGGCAGAGATTGTTTGGAAGAGAGGGTTAGGGTTCATGTGTGCAGAGGAGATGAGGACTGGTGGCAGAGGCGTGAGGGCAGGGATTATGCCTTAACGATCTTTGTACCTTCTGCTAGTTCATAGTTAATGCTTGTTGCTTAAGTGCATGTAAAAGGTTATCTTTTCCCTTCTAAATTGCTAATCTCTTGATAACCACTGGCCTTGTCAATGGTACAACAAATACTGTGAAAGAAACTCTTTGTGCCCCTTGTTAATTTGTTTCAAGGACCAAAGGCAGAGAAATTTGGACTCAGGCTCGTCCAAGCCTTATTTATCTCTCTTTTAATTCCTTATATTCTTCCTTTAGGAAAAGGCACTCAGCCACTGTTTGGAAAACTACACAACAGGGTCATTCCCAATCCCTACCTCCCTCATGCCCAATAAATTCTGCAGTCCTACAAATCTCATAAAAAGACAGCCCACGTGCAGGCTCCCAGGAGAGCCGGGCGGAGATACAAACTTCTATTGGAACAGAGGTCACACAACGCAGACAGATGCACCCACACTCACGTGACTCAGCGCCCAGGCAGAATCACCGCGCGTTTAGGCAGCACACGCCGTACCTGGCCACGCAGACACACTTGCGGGGACACCTTCTACTCTCGGACCTATCCCCAGTGCACGAGGCCACGAGCCACGCAAAGCCCCGGCCGCCGGGCCCTGGCGCCTAGCCCCAGACCTGGCCCTCCCGGAAGTGGCTGGCTCTCGGCTGCGCTCGTCACCCCGGGCGCCGGTTGCGTCATCATGGCGCGACGTTGCAGCAGCGCCGGCGGAGGCTTGAAGTGCGGGTAGCTGCAGAGGTGAAGCCGGTGGAGCCGAGGGTGCGAGCGGCCAGGGCGGGAGCGGGCTGCGGGAGGCTGCTCGCGCCGGGAGCGCCGGGACAGGTGCGTGGTCGCCCTCTCACCGGGCCCGGCGCTACTCCAGCAAGCTGCCGGGCGGTCCGCTCCCCCCGGCCCTCTCCCTCGAGCTCCCGGGTTCCCCCTGAGAGATGGGGCCGGCTCGTGCCGGCGTGGGGGTCGGGCTTTTTCTCTCCCCGGGAGACCGGGCTGCGGCAGGCTTCCCCTGGGCGAGAGGGAAGTCCCTGTGGGCTCAGTCCCCCGCGCACCCGAAGGGCACGTGGAGTCATTGGCTTTGGCGTTGAGGCAGCAAGCGTGCTCTGGGAGCAGCTGGTGCTGGGGACAGTCCGTTGACAGATGACCACTGATTGAACTGAGCACTCACTGTGCGTCAGACACTGTGCCAGGCGTCTTAGGGGTATTATCCAGTCCTCCCAGCAGCCCAGGAGGTAAGATTTATCATATCATGCCCATTTTCCAGATGGGGAAACCAAGGCATGGAAGTTAACCGACTCGTCCAAAGTCACACAGATGGTAAGCAGGGGGGATTCGAACTCTGATCTGTTTGGCTTCAGAGCTGGCCCTCCTGCCTCTGTCGCTTTTAAAACCCACAGTTGGCTCCCCTCAGCCCACAGCCTGGCGCCTCCAGGATTCTCTTTTTTTTTTTACGGGGGGGTGTACTTTTCAACCTTGGACAAACATGGGGAGGGAGGGGTGAAGCGTGCACTTCCTATTGGCACAAGACTGTTTCCACCTCTCGTCCTGCCCCCGTCACAGGGGCCAGACGAGTCTTCATTTTCCCAGGCAGCAGCTGGCTCCGCCGGTTGTAGCTACATTCTGCACCTGAAACTGATAGCTGAGTTTTATTTTATAATACAGAAGAGCTTTCATGCCAGGTGCATTGCTTTACTATTCCCTCCCCTCGCCTATTATGGTAGATTGTTACTCACATAAAATTGTTAAGAATGTGTATAGTCATGCTGAGGGTAACAGTTACCACTGTAAATCCACATGGGGATTGTAAAGAGATCGGCATCTGCCCTCCAAGGAACACTGTTAACTTGAACATGACCTTTCAAGGTTTTAAAGGACTAATTTAAGGCCAGGTGAGAAATAGTCAAATGCTAAAATAATTTGAGAATTATGTTAGAAAATTCTTATATTTTAAGTTAATATCTGTTTTCTTTAGCAGTTCACTGTTAGTGAACATTTTTTCCTAGGGTAGGAAAAGGCTTATTGAAAAGATATGAAAACTTATAAATCAGATATTTTAGAACAGTGTACTTTTGTCTTAGAGCTGTGTAGATGTATTAAAATTGCAAACATCATTTCATTTAAGGCAGCACAAGAAAATTCAGAGCTTAATTCAGTTTAAGTGGGAAACTTGAGAGGTGCCCTCATTACTGTTACCCATTTTACATTGCATAGTGTGTATGACGAAAAATTCCCAGCACATAATTTTTCAAAATTATCTACTTGTGTGCATACATGTAACTTTAATTTAATAAATGCGTATCTTCATACTTCCAGGAACTATTTAGTTACACAGGTGAAATAATTATTTGTCACGTACCTGAAATCAGCTGTCATTTACCCTTGTGAATTCATAGCTGTTTTGTTCATGAAGTCCAAAGATAACGAATGCTGTTTTTTGTTTTTTTTTAAAATCAGGATGGCCTGGATTCATATACACACATCAAAGTCCTTTTTTACACATTGACTAAACATGGGGAAGTCCTCCATAGTTCATTTGACATCCTATCATGGGGCAAAATAATATAGAAATCAGAATTTTGAGTTCTAGTATTTGCTCTCTGGATCCCTCATTAACTTATATGGTATACATTTTTTTATAGCACATGATTTGGGAGTTACGCTTTGTGACATGGATGAATCTGCACTGACCCTTGGCATGATAGATGTTTCTTATTTGCCAAATTCATCTGAATACAGTATTGGTCGATGTAAGCATGCAAGTGAGGAATGGGTAAGTTTAAGATACAGGTTAAAAGCATTCAGCCTAAAGATGTTCATTTCAGTGTGTATGAAGGTGGAAACACTGGAAGCAACAGAAATTCAAATAGAGGTTAATAGCTACAGAAACTACCTCCAGCTGTTAGAAGATTTGTTTATGAAGTCTAATATTTAAAAATTCTTATGGTATTATG